TTGGAACCTCATGTAGACCTGGTAGGGAATCTACACGGAGGTTCTCTATTCCGGACTCGTGACATCTCTATTCTTCGTGAGGTATTCTCGAATAGTATCTTATTTTGTCCGTAGGATATCAGACCGTGGGTATGATTCATACATATGATACGTACATACGATACGTATCTACAATTCATGCACACCATACATATATGACTCACGCGATCCCCTAGGATTCATATCATCGACGTGACTCATCTCATTCACTTGCGTGAGTGACTTGACTCATTCGATTTGCATCTCACTCGATCCCCACAGCGATCCATTCTAGATTTCATAGTTCGTCGATCCTCGATAAGAGCATCGACTCACTTTTCTACTAGCATACATTTTACATCACTATTAGGACAGTCTCTCCCACAGGTTAGGATAAGAGCATCGACTCACTTTTCTACTAGCATACATTTTACATCACTATTAGGAAAGTCTCTCCCACAGGTTATGACACCCTTCCAATAAAATTAATCACCACCATGGTGATAATTTTTTAGGCGTGCTCTCTCCTTAATACGAACTCTACCGACGCAACGTCGACACACACCTTTGAACAACGCATCGACGGCGCATGCGCTCGTCATCGCCATCGTCTTCAACAACGCTTTCGCATTGTCATTACCATCGTCTCCGACAACGCTTTCGCATTGTCACTAACACTGTCATTGACAACGCACATGCCTTGTCAACGCCATTGTCCTCAAAATTACTAATTTCGAAGCAATCGCCATTGTCGCCGCTCACGACGTTTTCTCGCAACTCAAAACTTTCGAAATCTTTTCACTAATTTTCTTTACGATCAACAAAACTTTTTCGGCGACGACAAACCCGTTTCTATTTTTTATTCCTACAACGATATAAAATAAATCCCACACGTGCATTCACGCGTACCACCCATAAATCCTTTACTCCCACAGCGCGACCATCCCGCGTTACGCGCAACCACTCCACGTCCCGCGTCCGTCCCACGTTACCGTAAAACTTCAATTGTGAACAAAATTCAAGCTTCTCACGAAAACCGCACTTTTACGATAACATTGCACTTCGACTCGCTTCGCAACATTCATCATAAAATATATCCCCTTTGATCCGAATCAAAAATATATTTTATACTTCCATCGTCGCATCAATCGACAAATATCAACATGAGTACTAAAAGCAGAAGCAGCAAAACCTCGAAGTGCACCTTCCACCCCGACATCGACTCCATTCATGCTGTTTTCCTTAAACACGACAGTTATCCTGAACTGACGGATCCAATGAACACAGCATACGGATTCACCAACGACTTCGTCGACTACCTCAACAAGACCCAAGATGCCTTCGCCAACGTCGGCCAATTTGTCCCAAAAGTGCTCAAAAATATCGTCGAACACATCGAAAACAACGCGTATAACACTACCGATAAATCTCGTATCAAAATGTTGATGACCGAAAAGACGCAACTCCTTGTCAAAATCGCAAAAGGCAAATGTGCGCACGTGTTAGGAAGCAACCCCAACCGCGCTTTAAACTTTGTACCAAAAACCGCTCAAACAAACGTACTCGTTTTCTACATCAACTAGTCGCCCTTCTACATCGACAATTGAATGCCAACCAAAAACGTATTCAATTTCGCGCTCTTTGGCGAAATCCCCTTTCC